TGTGCCACGTGGACTATTAACTAGGCCGAACTCAGGCTGTGCCACGTGCACTATTAACTAGGCCTCACTCAGGCTGTGCCACGTGTACTATTAACTAGGACTCACTCAGGCTGTGCCACGTGCACCATTAACTAGGCCGAACTCAGGCTGTGCCACGTGCACCATTGACTAGGCCTCACTCAGGCTGTGCCACGTGCACTATTGACTAGGCCGAACTCAGGCTGTGCCACGTGCACTATTGACTAGGCCGAACTCAGGATGTGTCACGTGCTCTATTAACTAGGCCGAACTCAGGCTGTGCCACGTGCGCTATTGACTAGGCCTCACTCAGGCTGTGCCACGTGTACTATTAACTAGGCCGAACTCAGGCTGTGCCACGTGCACTATCAACTAGGCCTCACTCAGGCTGCGCCACGTGCATTATTAACTAGGCCTCACACAGACTGTGCCATGTGCACCATTAACTAGGCCTCAGGCTGTGCCATGTGAACTATTAACTAGGCCCGACTCTAAAGCTCGAGCATGTGCACGACAATCAAATCGGCATACCTAGACAATGACCAGACGACGAGATTCGATCAGCACCGGGTCCCTCACTGGCTGAGAGCCATAACGGTAAAAAAATTAACCCGTAAAAACACAGTTTTTCACTCTAAATCCTTTATATGCGTGGCGGCTAGAGTCATCTCGTCCTCTGGCTTGAGATGGCTGCCACCTATGTGTCAGATGATTGTCTGCCAGCATGAAGCAATTGGTAATTAAATATTTAAAAAAATTTTCCCTAAACAGAGTAAAATTTTGGAAAAGAATTTCACTAAAATTAATTGTCACGCACAACGAGTCTGTGTGGAAAATGTCAGCTCGATTGGATCACGGGAAGTGGGTTAAAAAACGACCGAAAGATTTGCACGGTCCTAAGCAAGCAAGCACGCAAGCAAGTGAACTTAATATAAAGGATTAAAAAAAACAACACACCAGCATTGTACCGACACGAGCGTCTGACCCAAGCAAACGAAGGGGGGAAAAAATTAACCCGTAAAAACAAAGTTTTTCACTATAAATCCTTTATATACGTGGCGGCTAGAGTCCTCTCGTCCTCTGGCTTGAGATGGCTGCCACCTATGGGTCAGATGATTGCCTGCCACCATTAAGCAATTGGTAATTAAATAGAAGAAAAAAAATTCCTAAACAGTGTAAATCTTCTTGGTTCTTTCGGTAAAGTCACGTAGAAGGGAAGTAATAAAATAATAAAAATAAAACATAATAAAATAATTCTCACGACGTTTCGGCCACAACGCAAGCAGCCGTCCTCAGGTGAAAACCAGGTCCGTCGAGGCGACAGAGTCTGAATGAAACAGCACACGAGCTTGGAGCATATATATAAGCTGGGCGCATTGACAAAGGAATTTGCATATCAAGAGGAATTTAGCATATTTATGGGAAATGCAGGAATGTGATTAGTACTGCATATGCATGTGCATTATGCAGGATTAGCAGCATCAAAGGGAGCTGCAGTTACTGCTGCTGCTGCAGTTGCTGCTGCTGCTGCAGTTGCGTATATAACTGCAGCAGCAGCAGCAACTGCAGCAGCAGCAGCAACTGCAGCAGCAGCAGCAACTGCAGCAGCAGCAGCAACTGCAGCAGCAGCAGCAACTGCAGCAACAGCAGCAACTGCAGCAACAGCAGCAACTGCAGCAGCAGCAGCAACTGCAGCAACAGCAGCAACTGCAGCAGCAGCAGCAACTGCAGCTCCCTTTGATGCTGCTAATCCTGCATAATGCACATGCATATGCAGTACTAATCACATTCCTGCATTTCCCATAAATATGCTAAATTCCTCTTGATATGCAAATTCCTTTGTCAAGGCGCCCAGCTTATATATATGCTCCAAGCTCGTGTGCTGTTTCATTCAGACTCTGTCGCCTCGACGGACCTGGTTTTCACCTGAGGACGGCTGCTTGCGTTGTGGCCGAAACGTCGTGAGAATTATTTTATTATGTTTTATTTTTATTATTTTATTACTTCCCTTCTACGTGACTTTACCGAAAGAACCAAGAAGATGAATCCCTGCAGTCACGAAAGCTTTAAATCAAAATTTAAACAGTGTAAAGTTACGAAAAAATTTTTCACGAACATTAATTGTCTCGCACAACGAGTCTGTGTGCAAAATGTCAGCTCGATTGGATCACGGGAAGTGGGTTAAAAAACGACCGAAAGATTTGCACGGTCGTAAGCAAGCAAGCGAGCGAAATTAATATAAAGGATTTAAAAATGGCAACTAAATTATAGACCACGATGTTGGTGACGGACGGCCTGATTGCTCGTGCCAAATTAAAAATAAAAACCTCAACACGACGGTCGGATGATTGCCGAAACGCATCTCCACCTGCCGCAGATCCTCAGTCGCCAATTTTTTTTTACCAAACCCCATCCCTACCCCACGCTCCCCCCCCCGGCCCAAAATTCCCACACGGACAAAGTCGACATCGCCACGGCGTTCCCCATGTCGGGAGGGAAAAACCCCATCTCCGTCTGGATTTGTGTGCGTTTTTAAAATGTATATATTCCGTGTATTATTTGGGTCTTTCGGTAAAGAAAAAAATATAAAAAACTACAACGTTTCGATCACAACTCAAGCGATCGTCTTGGAACCTATCTACGTGACTTTACCGAAAGACCCAAAGAACATGAATTCCTGCAGTCACGAAAGCTTTAAGTCAAAATATATTCCGTGTATATAGGGTGGCCCAAAAGTGAGGGTACGTAGGGTTACTTAATTTCATTTAACAAATGTTCAAACTGACCTTTCCAATAAAAAGACATACACCATCCTCGACTTCTTTGTTAAAATTAATTCAGGACTTGTTTTTAAAAAGATTAACATTCACCAGTCGCGTTTTTGTCTCAAATCAGCCCAATTTTCTGAATCTAAAAAGGAAGACAAATTGATAAGAATTCATAGTAATAGATAAAACATTAATTTAAGTTAATAAAAATTAATAAAAAAATAAGTAAAAAATGTCATGCCAGTGTTGAAATGAATATCATGACCCTGTGCGTCTTCACTTTTGGGGCCACCCCTGTACACGTGGCCTGTACAACTATTCCATCTTCTTGGTTCTTTCGGTAAAGTCACGTAGAAGGGAAATAATAAAATTAAAATAAAATAATCAAAATAAAACATAATAAAATACAATTAATTCTAGATTTGAATTTTCACGACGTTTCGGCCACAATGCAAGCAGCCATCCTCAGGTGAAGAACAGGGCTATCGGAAAGACAGCGTCTGACAGACCTGTTCTTCACCCGAGGACGGATGCTTGCGTTGTGGCCGAAACGTCGTGAGAATTATTTTATGAAGTTTTATTTTTATTATTTTATTATTTCCCTTCTACGTGATGACTTTACCGAAAGAACCAAGAAGATCAATCCCTGCAGTCACGAAAGCTTTAAATCGAAATTTATTCCATCTTCTTTAAAAATGAATGTTAAAAACCATCCGCGAGAAGCAATCCGCGTCGTTTTTTGCGTAACGGGGGGTGGTGGGGGTCAATGTCGTTGCTGTTGGGGGGGGGGGGGGGCTGTCAATGCCTCCCGGATATTTTGGTCGACCCAATCTCCTCCTGGCGGGGAGTACTGATAGAGCAACTTCCCGCCTCAAACATTCGACTCGCGTCTCAGCGGCCACTTGTGCATCTCGCCGGTTCTTTTTCTTGGACTTGTGCGAATTTTTCGATGGCTCCAGGTTGTGTGTAGGGGGGGGGTGGGGGTGCGGGGAGTTCATCGGAAGAGGGACCCCGCCACTCTTCATCAAGGAATGTAGTAGCAATGGAAAACCGGTCGCCAAGGCGTTGACGCCAGAGGCTGTTTGCCCCCACAGCGGTCCAGCTACCGCTCGCTCTCAGAGTCGCCGGTCAGAACCTCCCCACCGATAGCGGATAGGGGTGGAGGGAGGGAAGACGGGCGTGTGAAGACGCTGTCCCGAGCGCTGTCGGCTTTGCCGCCGGTAAATTCCAGCGGCTGCGTGTGTGTGTGTGCGCGCGTGGTCGCGCGTGTGATGTGTTGATGTGTCGTAAGCCCTCCCCCCCTCCTCCACTCGACTTGGTCAAATAAATAGGGGTGAGGTTGGTAGTGGTGGGTGGGGTCAGTGGGGGTAAAGGTTAGAGAGGGTCAGTGGGGGTAAGGGTTAGTGAGGGTAGGGTTTGGGCAGCATCACGAACGATGGCAAAGATATTTAAAATGGCCACGCCGTGTCGTGGAGGGGCATACGACACACAGCCACTCCGCTCGTAACTCTCAAACTCCAAACAATGTCCGGCACAGCCCCCCAAAACCCCTAACCCTGCACCGGGCACGGACGGATCGCATATCTTCACTCTTCTTGGTTCTTTCGGTAAAGTCACGTAGAAGGGAAGTAATAAAATAATAAAAATAAAACATAATAAAACAATTCTCACAATTGTTTGTGAGAATTGTTTTGTGAGAATTGTTTTATTATGTTTTATTTTTATTATTTTATTACTTCCCTTCTACGTGACTTTACCGAAAGAACCAAGAAGATGAATCCCTGCAGTCACGAAAAGCTTTAAATCGAAATCTTCAACACTGTGTCACGCATTCCACCGAGTGCTCAACATCCGATCGCCATGTCATCGTGCCCCCTCCCCCCCACTCCCCGTAGTTTGTTTATACAACATTCCCCCCTTTCCACCCCCACATAAATACACGGCTCCCGAGACCACTGGATGGCATATGGACGTCCCAGGACAGCTAAGACAATGACATGAACCCTGCGCAAAACTTGGGACCGGTTAGTGATGACCTTAGCGACCTCTAGCAGCCGGCCCTGGCAGCCCAAGTGGCCCTGCAGGAAGGAGGAGGAGATGCCTTGGCTGGATGACTTAGATGTCCCGGGACGGCTACACCACCTCCTTTTTCTCCTCAACGACAAGGACGCAAAAATTGGGGCCAGCTGGCGACGGCCGCCCTGGTGGCTGACCCTAGCGGCCCTGCGGAAAGGAGGAGGAGGAGGAGGAAGAGGAGGAAGGGAAAGGGACGCCCGGCTGGATGGCAGCGGCGGGCGACGCGGGCACCAGAAAGAGGTCGAAGACGCTCTTGTTGGGTGGCATTATGCCGTAGACTCGCTCGTAGTCGAGGAACGTGGGCACCTGGTAGAGGAGACCCGCCTCGCGCGACCTCACCCAGTACGACACCAGCTGCAGCGGCGGGGACGACGGATTCAACGACGACGACAACGAAGACGACGACACGGAGGAGGACGGCGAGGGGGAGGGGGAACAGGACAGCGACGGTGGCGATCGGTACGCGGGGAGAGCGGGGAGAGCGGTGTCACCGCCGCCGCTGCTGCCGAGGAAAGCCAGCGAGTCCGGACCGGCGGGTGGCGCCACCGCATTGGGGGGCGTGAACTTGGAGTGCGAAGCCGGCAGCTCCCAGGGGACCAACGCCTGCGGGGCCGGGTTTCCGTACGCGACGGCGGTGGCCACGTTGCCATGGGCGTAACCGTGGGCGGCGACCACGTTTCCGTAACCGTGGGTGGCAGCCACGTTGCCGTAACCGTGGGCGGCGGCCACATTTCCGTAACCGTGGGCGGCGGCCACGTTGCCATGGGCATAACCGTGGGCAGCGGCCATGTTGCCGTAACCGTGGGCGGCGGCCACGTTGCCGTAACCGTGGGCGGCGGCCACGTTTCCGTAACCGTGGGCGGCGGCCACGTTGCCATGGGCGTAACCGTGGGCGGCGGCCACGTTGCCGTAACCGACAGCGGTGGCCATGTTGTAATTGTTACCGAGGGCCGCGTTTGCGTTGCCGGGCTGGCACTGCCACGGCTGCGCCAGCCACGCCGCGTGCCACGAGCGGCGCCCCTCGGCGTCGGCGGCCGCGTCAGCCGACGACGACGCCGACGACGAGGAGGATGATGATGAGGATGCGGACGAGGAGGGGATTGCCATGCCGAGCGGCCGCTGGCCATCGCCCCCCGTGTCCCGGCGCTCGTGGCGGCGCCGGCGCTGGCACTGCCGTTCGCCCGCCTGGTGCCGGTGCCGACGCCGGCGCTGCCCCGCGGGAGACGCGAGGGCCATGCAGACGTCCACGGGGCCCGGCGGTGGCGGCTGCCCCCCAGGGGCGGGCGACGGCGAGCGGGAGAACGGCGACGAGGCGATGGAGGAGGAGGAGGAGGCGGACGACGACGAGCGAGAGACGGCGGGCGACGAATCAGATTCGTCCGCTCGTGGCGGGCGGTGCACGGCGGCGGTGGTGGTGGTGGAGGACACCAACGGCAGCTGCTGCTGCTGGTGCGAGTAGAACTCGGTGGGCAGCTGCTGGTAGGTGGCGCCGGCGGCCGTCGGCACATGACCACAGGTGGAAGAGTGACGAGGAGGGGGCGGAGGAGGCGGGGTGGGGGGACATGGCGTGCAGCGACGGGCAGCTCGGTAGGACCGACGCGTCACCCCACGCGATGTCGTCCGGCATTGGCGGCGGCGGTAGCGCGGACACTAGGGGCTGGTACGACGTGGGGACCCCCGCCAATGGTGCCAGGAAGTGCCCGGCCACCGAGAGGAACGGCGTCGACGAGGAGGAGGCCGCAGCGGAGACGTCGCAGATGCTGGAGAACGGCGGCAGCAGTGGCGGCGGCGACGGGCGGAACCGCTCCAGAGCGGAGGCCAGAGCCGGGCCCGGTGCTGGCGGTGGGCGGTAGAGAGGCACCGGAGCGTCGGAGTTCGTCCAGCCGAGTTGCGGCAGCGGCTGGGCCACCTCGGCTCTCGGCGCGGAAGCGGCGGCGGCGGCATCGCGGGCCGAAGCCTCGTCCTGGCCGGACGAGCACGTCCAGAGGCGGAGGCCCGGGTCCAGAAGGTAGGGCCGCAGGTCCTGCGGGTACGGCGAGCGGGCCTTGCGCGACTCAGCCGTGTTCTGCCGCAGAAGGGCCTCGGGCGGTACCTTGTCGATGTCCAGTGTCCAGTGGTTGCCCTTGCATCCCGGGCGTGAAGGGTCCTTGAGCACCTGGGACCGGGGACCGTGGGGGGGGGGGGGGGGGGGGGGGAGTTGAGGGGGTTTGGGTGAGCGGGCGGGCAGACGGGCAAAATGTCGTGGACAGGGAAGTAGACGGAACGAAGAGGTCGCAACCGGGTACCCGATACCCGTACCCTACCCGATACCCGTCATTGTCTTAGCTGTCCTGGGACGTCCATACCGTCATCCAGTGATGTCAGGAGCTGTCTATTTATGTGGGGTAGAGAGGGGGGAATGTTGTATAAACAAACTACGGGGAGGGGGGGGGGGGACACGATGACATGGCGATCGGACGTTGAGCACTCGGCAGAGGTCTCAACCGGGTACCCGATACCCGATACCCGGCTACCCGTACCTGGCTGGGTACGGGTAGCCGTTTGCGACCCTGGTGCGGCCGGGTACGGGTAGGCCGTGAGTCACTGGTGAGTAGCCGTTTGTCACTCATTTTGGGTAGGGTACGGGTACGGGTAGGTGGTTCAAGTTTCAAGTTTCACCGGTGTTGGCCGTGAGCAGGAATCGAACTCAGGTCGCCGGGTTCGTAGCGCAGCGTAGCGCTAACCGCTACACCACCGCTCACCACCGCTCACAGACACACGGACACACACACGCACGTAACCCACTCGCGCGTACTGCGGTGAGGAGCGGTGGCCCAGCGGTTAGCGCCGCGCTGCGCTACGAACCCGGCGACCCGAGTTTTCGATACTCGCTCACGGCCAACACCGGTGGCGACTATCCGACCCGGTCCTGGGCCTCCCCTTCGGCCTCAATTGAGTACCTGGTGCGGTGTGTGATGTTGGCCACCTACCGCCTCTCTCATGTGCCGTTCCGGCCTTCGTTAGGTTCTGCTCGCTAACGGCACTTGCCCCGAGAATCTGTTAGAGGCTACGTGGGGGATCTTTGTCTTTGTTTTTGGTGGTGGTTGGTGGTGGCAGCGGTGGAGGGGAGCGGTGGTGCAGTGGTTAGCGCAGCGCTGCGTCACCTGACGTCACCGGTCAAACAACAGCACCGCTGGTGGCGGATCATCCGAACCGGTCCTGGGCCTCCCCTAGGTCGACTCAGCCTCAAATGAGTGCTGTGTTTGCGGCGGTGCGTGGGCACGAACACCCCAGCCCCTCGCTGCTAACAGCACTTGCCCCAATAATCTTTTGAGGCTACACGGGGGATCTTTGCCTGTGTATATCTGTGTGTTCAAGTGGTGGCTAAATAGCACTTGCCCCAAAAGTATAATGAGGCTACACGGGGGATTTTTGTCTGTGTGTGTATCTGTGTGTTCCAGCTGCTTTAGCTAACAGCACTTGCCCCAACAGTGTTAGAGGCTACACGGGCGATCTTTGCCTGTGCGTGTCTGTGCTCCAGGTGCTAGCGAACAGCACTTGCCCCGATATTGTGTTGAGGTTACACGGGGGATCTTTGCCTTTGTGTGTCTGTGTGCTCCAGCTGCTTTAGCTAACAGCACTTGCCCCGACAGTCTGTTAGAGGCTACACGGGGGATCTTGCCTGTGTGTGTCTGTGTGTTCAAGTGGTGACTAAATAGCACTTGCCCCAACAGTCTGTTAGAGCTACACGGAGGATCTTTGCCTGTGTATGTCTGTGTGTTCCAGCTGCTTTAGCTAACAGCACTTTCCCCGATATTGTGTTGAGGCTACAAGGAGGATCTTTGCCTGTGTGTGTCTGTGTGTTCCAGGTGCAAGCGAACAGCACTTGCCCCGATATTGTGTTGAGGCTACATGGGGGATCTTTGCCTGTGTGTGTCTGTGTGTTCCAGCTGCTTTAGCTAACAGCACTTGCCCAGACAATCCGTTAGAGGCTACGTGGGGGATCTTTGTTGGCGGTGGCTGGTGTCGTCACCTTGGAGAAGCACTTGTTGGCCGAGAGGTTGTGGCGCACAGAGTCCCTCCAGCCCTTGTACTCGCCCGTGAAGAACGGGAACATGGAGCCGATGAGGCTGAAGATCTGAAGCACGGGGAACACAGCCGCGGTCATTGTCATCACCGTGCGTCGTCGTCATCGTTGTCGCAACGTTCGTCGGACACCGTGTTGCCCGCCAGGCCGGGTCCCAGTCAGTGAATGATTGAGTGGGTGATTGAGTGAGTGGGTGATTGAGTGAGTGGGTGATTGAGTGAGTGGGTGATTGAGTGAGTGGGTGATTGAGTGAGTGGGTGATTGAGTGAGTGGGGGATTGAGTGAGTGGGGGATTGAGTGAGTGGGGGATTGAGTGAGTGGGGGATTGAGTGAGTGGGGGATTGAGTGAGTGGGGGATTGAGTGAGTGGGGGATTGAGTGAGTGGGGGATTGAGTGAGTGGGGGATTGAGTGAGTGGGGGATTGAGTGAGTGGGGGATTGAGTGAGTGGGGGATTGAGTGAGTGGGGGATTGAGTGAGTGGGGATTGAGTGAGTGGGGGATTGAGTGAGTGGGGGATTGAGTGAGTGGGGGATTGAGTGAGTGGGGATTGAGTGAGTGGGGGATTGAGTGAGTGGGGGATTGAGTGAGTGGGGGATTGAGTGAGTGGGGGATTGAGTGAGTGGGGGATTGAGTGAGTGGGGGATTGAGTGAGTGGGGGATTGAGTGAGTGGGGGATTGAGTGAGTGGGGGATTGAGTGAGTGGGGGATTGAGTGAGTGGGGGATTGAGTGAGTGGGGGATTGAGTGAGTGGGGGATTGAGTGAGTGGGGGATTGAGTGAGTGGGGGATTGAGTGAGTGGGGGATTGAGTGAGTGGGGGATTGAGTGATGGGGATTGAGTGAGTGGGGATTGAGTGAGTGGGGGAGGAGTGAGTGGGGGATTGAGTGAGTGGGGGATTGAGTGAGTGGGGATTGAGTGAGTGGGCGATGGAGTGAGTGGGCGATTGAGTGAGTGGGGGATGAGTGAGTGGGGGATTGAGTGAGTGGGGATTGATTGAGTGGGCGAGTGAGTGAGTGGGCGATTGAGTGAGTGGGCGATGAGTGAGTGGGGATTGAGTGAGGGGCGATTGAGTGAGGTGGGGCGATTGAGGTGAGTGGGCGATTGAGTGAGTGGGCGATTGAGTGAGTGGGCGATTGAGTGAAGTGGGCGATTGAGTGAGTGGGCGATTGAGTGAGTGGGGCGATTGAGTGAGTGGGCGATTGAGTGAGTGGGCGATTGAGTGAGTGGGCGATTGAGTGAGTGGGCGATGAGGAGTGGGCGATGGAGTGAGTGGGCGATTGAGTGAGTGGGCGATTGAGTGAGTGGGCGATTGAGTGAGTGGGCGATTGAGTGAGTGGGGCGATTGAGTGAGTGGGCGATTGAGTGAGTGGGCGATTGAGTGAGTGGGCGATTGAGTGAGTGGGCGATTGAGTGAGTGGGCGATTGAGTGAGTGGGCGATTGAGTGAGTGGGCGATTGAGTGAGTGGGGGGTGCGATTGAAGTGAGTGGGCGATTGAGTGAGTGGGCGATTGAGTGAGTGGGCGATTGAGTGAGTGGGCGATTGAGTGAGTGGGCGATTGAGTGGTGGGCGATTGAGTGAGTGGGCGATTGAGTGGGCGATTGAGTGGGTGGGCGATTGAGTGGGTGGGCGATTGAGTGAGGTGGGCGATTGAGTGGGTGGGCGATTGAGTGAGTGGGCGATTGAGTGAGTGGGCGATTGAGTGAGTGGGCGATTGAGTGAGTGGGCGATTGAGTGAGTGGGCGATTGAGTGAGTGGGCGATTGAGTGAGTGGGCGATTGAGTGAGTGGGCGATTGAGTGAGTGGGCGATTGAGTGAGTGGGCGATTGAGTGAGTGGGCGATTGGGAGTGGGCGATTGAGTGAGTGGGCGATTGAGTGAGTGGGCGATTGATGAGTGGGCGATTGAGTGAGTGGGCGATTGAGTGAGTGGGCGATTGAGTGAGTGGGCGATTGAGTGAGTGGGCGATTGAGTGAGTGGGCGATTGAGTGAGTGGGCGATTGAGTGAGTGGGCGATTGAGTGAGTGGGCGATTGAGTGAGTGGGCGATTGAGTGGGCGATTGAGTGAGTGGGCGATTGAGTGGGCGATTGAGTGGGCGATTGAGTGGGCGATTGAGTGGGCGATTGAGTGGGCGATTGAGTGGGCGATTGAGTGGGCGATTGAGTGGGCGATTGAGTGGGCGATTGAGTGGGCGATTGAGTGGGCGATTGAGTGGGCGATTGAGTGGGCGATTGAGTGGGCGATTTGAGTGGCGATTGAGTGGGCGATTGAGTGGGCGATTGAGTGGGCGATTGAGTGGGCGATTGAGTGGGCGATTGAGTGGGCGATTGAGTGGGCGATTGAGTGGGGCCGATTGAGTTGGGCGATTGAGTGGGCAGATTGAGTGGGCGATTGAGTGAGTGAGCAATTGAGTGGGTGAGCGATTGAGTGGGCGATTGAGTGGGCGAGTGAGTGGGTGATTGAGCGAGTGAGCGATTGAGTGGGCGATTGAGTGGGCGATTGAGTGGGCGATTGAGTGAGTGAGCGATTGAGTGGGTGAGCGATTGAGTGGGCGATTGAGTGAGTGAGCGATTGAGTGAGTGAGCGATTGAGTGAGTGAGCGATTGAGTGAGTGAGCGATTGAGTGAGTGAGCGATTGAGTGAGTGAGCGATTGAGGTGGGCGATTGAGTGAGTGAGCGATTGAGTGAGTGAGCGATTGAGTGAGTGATTGAGCGATTGAGTGAGTGATTGAGCGATTGAGTGGGCGATTGAGCGAGTGAGCGATTGAGTGAGTGAGCGATTGAGTGAGTGAGCGATTGAGTGAGCGATTGAGTGAGTGAGCGATTGAGTGAGCGATTGAGTGAGTGAGCGATTGAGTGGGTGAGCGATTGAGTGAGTTAGCGATTGAGTGGGTGATTGAGTGGGTGATTGAGCGATTGAGTGGGCGATTGAGTGAGTGAGCGATTGAGTGAGTGAGCGATTGAGTGAGTGAGCGATTGAGTGAGTGAGCGATTGAGTGGGCGAGCGATTGAGTGGGTGATTGAGTGGGTGATTGAGCGAGTGAGCGATTGAGTGGGCGATTGAGTGGGTGATTGAGTGAGTGAGCGATTGAGTGGGCGATTGAGTAGGCGATTGAGTGGGCGATTGAGTGGGCGATTGAGTGGGTGACTGAGTGAGTGAGCGATTGAGTGGGCGATTGAGTGGGTGATTGAGCGAGTGAGCGATTGAGTGGGCGATTGAGTGGGCGATTGAGTGGGCGATTGAGTGAGTGAGCGATTGAGTGGGCGATTGAGTGAGTGAGCGATTGAGTGGGTGATTGATTGAGTGGGCGATTGAGTGGGCGATTGAGTGAGTGAGCTATTGAGTGGGCGATTGAGTGAGTGAGCGATTGAGTGAGTGAGCGATTGAGTGAGTGAGCGATTGAGTGAGTGAGCGATTGAGTGGGCGATTGAGTGAGTGAGCGATTGAGTGGGTGATTGAGTGGGTGATTGAGCGAGTGAGCGATTGAGTAAGTGAGCGATTGAGTGGGCGATTGCGTGAGTGAGCAATTGAGTGGGTGATTGAGCGAGTGAGCGATTGAGTGGGCGATTGCGTGAGTGAGCAATTGAGTGGTTGATTGAGTGGGTGATTGAGCGAGTGAGCGATTGAGTGGGCGATTGAGTGGGCGAGCGATTGAGTGGGCGATTGAGTGGGCGAGCGATTGAGTGGGGGATTGAGTGAGCGAGTGATTGAGTGAGCGATTGAGTGGGTGAGCGATTTAGTGAGCGAGCAATTAAGTGGGTGAGCGATTGAGTGAGCGAGCGATTGAGTGGGTGAGCGATTGAGTGGGTGAGCAATTGAGTGGGCGAACAATTGAGTGGGTGAACAATTGAGTGGGTGAGCGATTTAGTGAGTGAGCAATTGAGTGGGTGAGCGATTTAGTGAGTAAGCAATTGAGTGGGTGAGCAATTTAGTGAACGAGCGATTGAGTGGGTGAGCGATTTAGTGAGTAAATGAGTGGGCGAACAATTTAGTGGGCAAATGATTGAGTGGGCAATTGAGTGAGTGAGCGATTGAGTGGGCGATTGAGTGAGCGAGTGAGTGGTTGTGTCAGTGGGTGGTTGAGCGAGTGACCGAGTGTACGATTGAGTGGGAGAGCGATTTAGTGGGCGAACGATTGAGTGGGCAATTGAGTGAGCGAGTGATTGAGTGAGTGGTTGTGTCAGTGGGTAGTTGAGCGAGTGACCGAGTGTACTATTGAGTGGGAGAGCGATTTAGTGGGCGAACGATTGAGTGGGCAATTGAGTGGGCGAGTGGTTGTGTCAGTGGGTGGTTGAGCGAGTGACCGAGTGTGCGATTGAGTGAGCGATTTAGTGAGTGAGTGGTTGTGTCAGTGGGTGGTTGAGCGAGTGACTGAGTGTGCGATTGAGTGAGCGATTTAGTGAGCGAGTGGTTGTGTCAGTCGGTGGTTGAGCGAGTGACCGAGTGTGCGATTGAGTGGGTGAGCGATTTAGTGAGCGAGCGATTGAGTGGGTGAGCCATTGAGTAATTGAGTGAGCGAGCGATTGAGTGGGCGATTGAGCGAGTGAGTGGTTGTGTCAGTGGGTGGTTGAGTGAGTGATCGAGTATGCGATTTAGTGAGCGAGCGATTGAGTGGGTTAGCGAGTGAGTAAATGAGTGGGCGAGCGATTGAGTGGGCTAACAATTGAGTGGGCGATGGAGTGAGGGAGCGATTGAGTGGGTGAGTGAGCGATTGAGTGGGGGATTGCATGGGCGATTGAGTGAGCAAGTGTTTGAGTGGGCGATAAAGTGAGTGAGTGGTTGTGTCAGTGGGTGGTTGAGTGAGTGATCGAGTGTGCGATTGAGTGAGCGAGCGATTTAGTGAGTGGGCGATTGAGTGGGGGATTGCATGGGCGATTGAGTGAGCGAGTGATTGAGTGGGCGATTGAGCAAGTGAGCGAGTGGTGCGAGAGTGAGCGGTTGAGTGAGCGAGTTATTGAGTGAGTGAGCGGTGCAAGTGAAAGATCGAGTGAATGAGTCGGCGATTGAGTGGGAGATTGAGTGGGAGATTGAGTGGGCCATTCAGTGAGTGAGCGTGTAATTGAGCGAGTGAGCGATTGAGTGGGGGGTTGAGCTAGTGATTGAGTGAATAAGCAATTGAGTGAGCGAGTTATTGAGTGAGTGAGCGGTGCAAGTGAAAGATCGAGTGAATGAGTCGGCGATTGAGTGGGAGATTGAGTGGGAGATTGAGTGGGCCATTCAGTGAGTGAGCGTGTAATTGAGCGAGTGAGCGATTGAGTGGGGGGTTGAGCTAGTGATTGAGTGAATAAGCAATTGAGTGAGCGAGTTATTGAGTGAGTGAGCGGTGCAAGTGAAAGATCGAGCGAATGAGTCGGCGATTGAGCAAGCGTGCGATTGAGTGGGAGATTGAGTGGGTCATTCAGTGAGTGAGCGTGTAATTGAGCGAGTGAGCAATTGAGTGGGGAGCTGAGTGAGTGATTGAGTGAGTAAGCAATTGAGTGAGCGAGCAAATGAGTCAGCGATTGAGCAAGCGTGCGATTGAGTGGGAGATTGAGTGGGTCATTCAGTGAGTGAGCGTGTAATTGAGCGAGTGAGCAATTGAGTGGGGAGCTGAGTGAGTGATTGAGTGAGTAAGCAATTGAGTGAGCGAGCGAATGAGTCAGCGATTGAGCCAGCGTGCGATTGAGTGGGAGATTGAGTGGGTCATTCAGTGAGTGAGCGTGTAATTGAGTGAGCGAGCGATTGAGTGGGGGGCTGAGTAAGCTATTGGGTGAGTAAGCAATTGAGTGAGTAAGCAATTGAGTGAGCGAGCGATTGAGTGCACGGTTGAGTGGGTTAGCAATTGAATGATTAAGCGATTGAGCAAATTGAGAGAGTGAGCAATTGGTGAGAGAGTGAGCGAGCGACTGAGCGAGCTGGCAATTGAGTGAGCGAGCGGTGCAAGTGAAAGATCGAGCGAATGAGTCAGTGATTGAGCAAGCGTGCGATTGAGTGGGAGATTGAGTGGGCCATTCAGTGAGTGAGCGTGTAATTGAGCGAGTGAGCGATTGAGTGGGGGGTTGAGTGAGTGAGTGAGTTAGCAATTGAGTGAGCGAGGGATTGAGTGCGTGGTTGAGCAAGCGTGCGATTGAGTGGGAGATTGAGTGGGTCATTCAGTGAGTGAGCGAGTGAGGAATTGAGTGGGGGGTTGAGCGAGTGATTGAGTGAGTAAGCAATTGAGTGAGTGAGGGATTGGGTGGGGGGTTGAGTGAGCAAGTGAGTGAGTAAGCAATTGAGTGGGTGAGCGATTGGTACGAGCGAGTGGTGCGAGAGTGAGCGAGCGATTGAATGATTAAGCGATTGAGCATTTGACAGAGTGAGCAATTGGTGAGAGAGTGAGTAAGCGACTGAGCGAGTTAGCAATTGAGCGAGCGAATGAGTCAGCGATTGAGCAAGCGTGCGATTAAGTGGGAGATTGAGTGGGCCATTCAGTGAGTGAGCGTGTAATTGAGCGAGTGAGCATTTGAGTGGGAGATTGAGTGGGCCATTCAGTGAGTGAGCGTGTAATTGAGCGAGTGAGCGATTGAGTGGGGGGTTGAGTGAGTGAGTGAGTAAGCAATTGAGTGGGCGAGCGATTGGTACGAACGAGTGGTGCGAAAGTGAGCGAGCGATTGAATCATTAAGCGATTGAGCATTTGAGAGAGTGAGCAATTGGTGAGAGAGTGAGCGAGCTGGCAATTGAGTGAGCGAGCGGTGCAAGTGAAAGATTGAGCGAATGAGTCAGCGATTGAGCAAGCGTGCGATTGAGTGGGAGATTGAGTGGGAGATTGAGTGGGCCATTCAGTGAGTGAGTGTGTAATTGAGCGAGTGAGCGATTGAGTGGGAGATTGAGTGGGCCATTCAGTGAGTGAGCGTGTAATTGAGTGAGTGAGCGATTGAGTGGGGGGTTGAGCGAGTGATTGAGTGAGTAAGCAATTGAGTGAGCGAGGGATTGAGTGGGCGATTGAGTGGGTGAGCGATTGAGTAAACAATTGAGTGGGCGAGCGATTGAGTAAACAATTGAGTGGGCGAGCGATTGGTACGAGCGAGTGGTGCAAGAGTGAGCGAGCGATTGAATCATTAAGCGATTGAGCATTTGAGAGAGTGAGCAATTGGTGAGAGAGTGAGCGAGCGACTGAGCGAGTTAGCAATTGAGTGAGCGAGCGAATGAGTCAGCGATTGAGCAAGCGTGCGATTGAGTGGGAGATTGAGTGGGTAATTCAGTGAGTGAGCGTGTAATTGAGCGAGTGAGCGATTGAGTGGGGGGCTGAGTGAGTGATTGAGTGAGTAAGCAATTGAGTGAGCGAGCGAATGAGTCAGCGATTGAGCAAGCGTGCGATTGAGTGGGAGATTGAGTGGGTCATTCAGTGAGTGAGCGTGTAATTGAGCGAGTGAGCGATTGAGTGGGGGGTTGAGCGAGTGATTGAGTGAGTAAGCAATTGAGTGAGCGAGGGTTTGAGTGAGCGAGAGATTGAGTGCACGGTTGAGTGGGTTAGCAATTGAATGATTAAGCGATTGAGCATTTGAGAGAGTGAGCAATTGGTGAGAGAGTGAGTGAGCGACTGAGCGAGCTGGCAATTGAGTGAGCGAGCGGTGCAAGTGAAAGATTGAGTGAGCAAGCGAGTCAGCGATTGAGCGAGCGGCCTACCTGTCGGAGCGTGAGCTGCAGCTCCGTTGAGCGCGTGATCGCCAGGCAGATGAGCGCGACGTACGAGTACGGAGGCTTGGGGTAGCGCTGGTAGTTCCTCTTGCTTCTCTCCGTCTTGCCAGATTCCTGTCCTTCATCACCACCACCGCCACCACCACCGGCGCAATCAGCGTGTTCCATATCTTCCACCTAAACGGCATGAGGGGGGGGGGGGGGGGGGGGGGGAGGTGGGGACAGGTCGCACGAACAATCACGATGATGTGCTACTTCCGGTGATCGTGTGATTGGTCTCCCTTACTCTCTCTCACGGGGGTGTGCTCATGATGGTCTTGAGTCCCTGAGTTCGAGTCCTGGTTCTAGGCATCTCTCTAACTTTTAGGAGACCCATAGACTCGCCACAGAGACCCACAGACTCACCACACAGAGACCCATAGACTCACCACACAGAGACCCATAGACTCACCACACAGAGACCCATAGACTCACCACACAGAGACGCATAGACTCATCACACAGAGACCTATAGACTCACCACACAGAGATCCATAGACTCACCACACAGAGATCCATAGACTCACCACACAGAGATCCATAGACTCACCACACAGAGACCCACAGACTCACCACACAGAGACCCACAGACTCACCACACAGAGACCCACAGACTCACCACACAGAGACCCATAGACTCACCACACAGAGACCCACAGACTCACCACACAGAGACCCATAGACTCACCACACAGACTCACCACACAGAGACCCATAGACTTCAACCCACGTCTCGTCCGTGGTGAGCGTGCATCAGTGGGTCGACTGTTGGTGGATCGGCTGAGGGTGGATCACCTGTGGGTGGATTGGCTCTGGGTGGAGCATGGGAGGCAGCGCCGTGTCGTCCTCTTCCATCTCCACCTCGTGGTTCATCGAGTCCATCGCTCCTCGGGCGAGCAGGTGGGTGAGCAGGTTGGTGGACTCTCTGGTTGGTTGGCCGAGCAGCTGGTTAGGTGGTGGACTAACCAGGAAGCGAGTTGGCGGACCAGCGCATGTATTACCAGACGTGTGACTGGAATAGTGGACCGGTTGCTTGTCCAGTGCCTGGACGAGTGGTCCAGTGGGTGGACTAGTGGCTGGACCAGTGGTTGGACTATTGGACCAGTGGTTGGACCAGTAGATGGACGAGTGGTCCAGTGGGTGGACTAATGGTTGGACTAGTGCATGGATTAGTGGTCCAGTGGATGGACCAGTGGATGGACCAGTGGTTGGACTATTGGACCAGTGGTTGGACCAGTAGATGGACGAGTGGACCAGTAGATGGACTAGTGGACTAGTGCCTGGACTAGTGGTCCAGTGGATGGACTAGTGGATGGACCAGTGGATGGATTATTGGACCAGTGGATGGACCAGTGGATGGACCAGTGGATGGACCAGTGGTTGGACTATTGGACCAGTGGTTGGACCAGTCGATGGACCAGTGATTGGACCAGTGGTTGGACCAGTGGATGGACCATTGGACCAGTGGTTGGACTATTGGACCAGTAGATGGACCAGTGGATGGACCAGTGGATGGACCAGTGGTTGTACTATTGGACCAGTGGTTGGACCAGTGGATGGACCAGTGGATGGACCAGTGGATGGACCAGTGGATGGACTATTGGATGGACCAGTGGATGGATTATTGGACCAGTGGATGGACCAGTGGATGGACCAGTGGATGGACCAGTGGTTGGACTATTGGACCAGTGGTTGGACCAGTCGATGGACCAGTGATTGGACCAGTGGTTGGACCAGTGGATGGACCATTGGACCAGTGGTTGGACTATTGGACCAGTAGATGGACCAGTGGATGGACCAGTGGATGGACCAGTGGTTGTACTATTGGACCAGTGGTTGGACCAGTGGATGGACCAGTGGATGGACCAGTGGATGGACCAGTGGATGGACTATTGGATGGACCAGTGGATGGACTATTGTACCAGTGGTTGGACCAGTGGACCAGTAGATGGACCAGTGGGTGGACGAGTGGTGAAGCTGTTGGACTCGGCTGCTGGTTGAACTACCGGGCCTGTCAGTGGCTCTGCTTGGTGGACCGTGCGGCTTTTGGGGCTACCGAATGGTTGGACTGCGGGTGGACCATAGGTGGACTATGGGTGGACTATGGGTGATTGTCCATCGAGTCCACCTTGAGCAGAGCTAGAGTCGCCCGACAAAGTTGCCCACAACCTGCGGATGCGGAGGACGGGAGGAGGGCGATGGTGGTGCAAATGGGACCCATAGACTCGCACAGAGACCCACAGACTCGCACAGAGACCCACAGACTCGCACAGAGAGACCCATAGACTCACACAGAGACCCATAGACTCGCACAGAGAGACCCATAGAAATACACAGAGACCCATAGACTCGCACAGAGAGACCCATAGACTCGCACAGAGACCCACAGACTCGCACAGAGACCCACAGACTCGCACAGAGAGACCCATAGACTCACACAGAGACCCACAGACTCGCACAGAGACCCACAGACTCGCACAGAGAGACCCATAGACTCACACAGAGACCCATAGACTCGCACAGAGAGACCCATAGAAATACACAGAGACCCATAGACTCGCACAGAGAGACCCATAGACTCGCACAGAGACCCACAGACTCGCACAGAGACCCACAGACTCGCACAGAGAGACCCATAGACTCACACAGAGACCCATAGACTCGCACAGAGACCCATTGACTCGCACAGAGACCCATAGACTCACACAGAGACCCACAGACTCGCACAGAGACCCACAGACTCGCACAGAGACCCATAGACTCGCACAGAGACCCACAGACTCGCACAGAGACCCACAGACTCGCACAGAGACCCACAGACTCGCACAGAGAGACCCATAGACTCACACAGAGACCCATAGACTCGCACAGAGACCCATTGACTCGCACAGAGACCCATAGACTCACACAGAGACCCACAGACTCGCACAGAGACCCACAGACTCGCACAGAGACCCATAGACTCGCACAGAGAGACCCATAGAAATACACAGAGACCCATAGACTCGCACAGAGACCCACAGACTCGCACAGAGAGACCCATAGACTCACACAGAGACCCATAGACTCACACAGAGACCCATAGACTCACACAGAGACCCACAGACTCGCACAGAGACCCATTGACTCGCACAGAGACCCATAGACTCACACAGAGACCCACAGACTCGCACAGAGACCCACAGACTCGCACAGAGACCCATAGACTCGCACAGAGAGACCCATAGAAATACACAGAGACCCATAGACTCGCACAGAGACCCACAGACTCGCACAGAGACCCATTGACTCGCACAGAGACCCATAGACTCACACAGAGACCCATAGACTCGCACAGAGACCCACAGACTCGCACAGAGACCCATAGACTCGCACAGAGAGACCCATAGAAATACACAGAGACCCATAGACTCGCACAGAGACCCACAGACTCGCACAGAGACCCATTGACTCGCACAGAGACCCATAGACTCACACAGAGACCCATAGACTCACACAGAGACCCATAGACTCGCACAGAGAGACCCATAGAAATACACAGAGACCCATAGACTCGCACAGAGACCCACAGACTCGCACAGAGACCCATAGACTCGCACAGAGACCCATAGACTCACACAGAGACCCATAGACTCACACAGAGATCCATAGACTCGCACAGAGACCCATAGACTCACACAGAGACCCATAGACTCACACAGAGATCCATAGACTCGCACAGAGACCCATAGACTCGCACAGAGACCCATAGAAATACACAGAGATCCATAGACTCACACAGAGACCCATAGACTCACACAGAGACCCACAGACTCGCACAGAGACCCATAGACTTGCATAGAGATCCATAGACTCGCACAGACACCCATAGAAATACACAGAGACCCGTAGACTTGCACAGACACCCATAGACTTGCACAGCACCCATAGACGAACACAGAGACCCATAGACTCGACAGAGACCCATAGACTCGCACAGAGACCCATAGACTCGCACAGAGACCCACAGACTTGCACAGACACCCGTAGACTCACACAGAGACCCGTAGACTCGCACAGACACCCATAGACTCGCACAGACACCCGTAGACTCGCACAGAGACCCGTAGACTCGCATAGAGACCCGTAGACTCGCATAGAGACCCGTAGACTCGCACAAAGACCCGTAGACTCGCATAGAGACCCGTAGACTCGCATAGAGACCCGTAGACTCGCATAGAGACCCATAAACTTGCATAGACACCCGTAGACTCGCACAGAGACCCGTAGACTCGCACAGACACCCGTAGACTCACACAGAGATCCATAGAGATCCATAGACTCACACAGAGATCCATAGACTTACATAGAGATCCATAGACTTGTATAGACACCCGTAGACTCGCACAGACACCCATAGACTCGCAGAGACACCCGTTGACTTGCATAGAGATCCATAGACTCGCACAGAGACCCATAGACTCGCATCGTGACCCACAGACTCGCACAGAGATCCATAGACGTGCATAGAGATCCATAGACTCGCACAGAGACCCATAGACTCACACAGATCCATAGACTTGCATAGAGACCCGTAGACTCGCACAGAGACCCATACACTCGCACAGAGATCCATAGAGATCCATAGACTCACACAGAGACCCATAGACTTGCACAGAGACCCATAGACTTGCACAGACACCCGTAGACTTGCACAGAGACCCATAGACTCGCACAGACACCCGTAGACTTGCATAGAGACCCATAGACTCGCACAGAGACCCATAGACTCACACCGAGATCCATAGACTCGCATAGAGACCCATAGACTCACACAGAGACCCATAGACCCACACAGAAACCCGTAGACTCACACAGAGACGCATAGACTCACACAGAGATCCATAGAAATGCATAGAGACCCATAGACTCACACAGAAACCCATAGACTCGCACAGACACCTGTAGACTTTCATAGAGATCCATAGACTTGCATAGAGATCCATAGACTCACACAGACACCCATAGACTCACACAGAGACCCATAGACTCACACAGAGAGACCCATAGACTCACACACAGAGAGACCCATAGATTCACACACAGAGAGACCCATAGATTCACACACAGAGAGACCCATAGACTCACACACAGAGAGACCCATAGACTCACACACAGAGAGACCCATAGACTCACACACAGAGAGACCCATAGACTCACACACAGAGAGACCCATAGACTCACACACAGAGAGACCCATAGACTCACACACAGAGAGACCCATAGACTCACACACAGAGAGACCCATAGACTCACACACAGAGAGACCCATAGACTCACACACAGAGAGACCCATAGACTCACACACAGAGAGACCCATAGACTCACACACAGAGAGACCCATAGACTCACACACAGAGAGACCCATAGACTCACACACAGAGAGACCCATAGACTCACACACAGAGAGACCCATAGACTCACACACAGAGAGACCCATAGACTCACACACAGAGAGACCCATAGACTCACACAGAGAGACCCATAGACTCACACAGAGACCCATAGACTCGCATAGAGACCCATACTCGCATAGAGACCCATACTTGCATAGACACCCGTAGACTCGCACAGAGACCCGTAGACTCGCACAGACACCCGTAGACTCACACAGAGATCCATAGAGATCCATAGACTCACACAGAGATCCATAGACTTACATAGAGATCCATAGACTTGTATAGACACCCGTAGACTCGCACAGACACCCATAGACTCGCAGAGACACCCGTAGACTTGCATAGAGATCCATAGACTCGCACAGAGACCCATAGACTCGCATCGTGACCCACAGACTCGCACAGAGATCCCTGGACTTGCATAGAGATCCATAGACTCGCACAGAGACCCATAGACTCACACAGATCCATAGACTTGCATAGAGACCCATAGACTCGCACAGAGATCCATAGAGATCCATAGACTCACACAGAGATCCATAGACTTGCATAGAGACCCGTAGACTCGCACAGAGACCCATACACTCGCACAGAGATCCATAGAGATCCATAGAGACCCATAGACTCACAC